GAGGGCCCGGGCTGGTGTACTCATGCACTGCATGGCCCCTCCATCCGCAGAGATGGACACTGGGAGAGGCGGGCCAGTCCTACCCACCACTGAGGACCCCTCCATTCACAGAGGCAGGGCGGGGCGAGGCAGGGTGGCCCATAGTCTTGGAGCCTCCGCAGAGGCTAGATGGGGTGCAACTGAGGTGCCTCAACCTCCCACAGTCCCTTCCCCAGCTGGCCAGACCCAGATCACCGCCCCCTACACACACAAGTGGGCAGGGGGTGGGGCCAGTGCTAAAAAGTGAGGGCTGAGGGTCGGCAGCCCCAGCATTGGCCAGCTTTGGCAGCAGCAGCAGCAGCAAGGTGATGGGGGTGGCGCCTTCCCCTGATCCTCTTGGTTGCCTCCCGTAGTGGGAGGCCAGACAGCGGCTTAGGCCTGCTCCCTATGGGTCATCAGTAGGACACCCCCTGAGGTCTCCCAGGCTATGAGAGGGGGCAGGCCAGGCTAAGGGAACCACCTCCCAGTTCACGAATTTTCATGCACCGGGCCTCTAGTTTATGATAAAAACTCTCAGCAAAGTGGGAACAGAAGGATCATATCTCAACATAATAAAGGCCATATATAACAAATCCACAGCCAACATCATACTCAATGGGCAAAACCTAAAACCATTTCCTATAAGAACAGGAACAAGACAGGGATGTCTGCTTTCACCACTCTTATTCAACATAGTACTGGCAGTCCTAGCCACAGCAATCAGATGAGAAGAAATAAAAGGAATCCAAATTGGAAAGGAGAAAGTAAAACTGTCATTATTTGCAGATGACATGACACTGTATATAGAGAGCCCTAAGGAGTCCACCAAAAAACTACTAGAACTGATCAAGGAATTCAGTAAAGTTTACAAAATAAATATCCGGAAATCAGTTGCATTTTTATGCACCAATAATGATATATCAGAAAGGGAAACTAAGAAAACAATCCCATTTACAATTGCATAAAAAATACTTAGGAATAAATTTAACCAAGGAGGTAAAAGTCTTGTACTTGGAAAATTATAAGTCACTGAAGAAAAAAAGTGAAAGCATACACCCTGTTCATAATAGGAAGAATTGACATCATTAACATGTATGTACTACCCAAAGCAATCTATAGAATTAATCTATACTACTTGAAGCAATCTATAGAACCAATCTATATTACCATATGATTTCACTTATGTGGAATCAAATGAACAAGCAAAATAGAAACAGACTCATAGATACAGAGAATAGAACAGCCGTGGGCAAACTACGGCCCACGGGCCGGATCCGGCCCGTTTGAAATGAATAAAACTAAAAAAAAAAAAAAGACTGTTCCCTTTTATGTAATGATGTTTACTTTGAATTTATATTAGTTCACACAAACACTCCATCCGTGCTTTTGTTCCGGCCCTCTGGTCCAGTTTAAGAACCCATTGTGGCTGTCCGGCTGCCTGCCTGTATGGACTTTGCTGTGAGGACTATTCTTTCTGATGGCTATATGGCCACTGGCTTCTGCAATAGGCTCATTCTTATACACCCATAACCTCTCATGTCTTCTACATCTAAGACCCGATGTCCTAGGAGGTCCAGCCCCAGGCAGAGGGGCTCAGACCCAACACCTGTTACTAGTGAGCAGAGGATAAAGAAGGAACTTTGACTAAGGAGAATTTAGAAGAATACAAGGACTCTTAGACACTCAGAGGTACTCAGAGCACCAGAGCTCTTACAGGGCTCTGGCCCTGCCCTGACAAGGGGCATGAAAACTACAGGTTGCCCCCCAAGGGAAGATGCAATGGAAAGAGTAAACAGATGGAAAGGAAGTAGAGAACACAAATAGAGGGAAGAGAAAGTTACTGGGAAAAGAGAAATATTAAAGTTGGAAAGATTTGCTAGAAGCACTGTGTAAAATCAGACTGACCACCCCTCCTTCCATGCCTCCCTTATTCACTAACCTCTTTCTTTAATGCAATGTTTTCCCCAGAAATTCCTGTCTCAACCTTGAAGTTGTTTTTCCTGATAACTACAATTTTATAAGATACTAGAGGCCTGATGCACGAATTTTGTGCAAGAGTAGGCCTTCCTTCCCCCAGCTGCCGGCACTGGCTTCCCTTTGGCACCTGGGACCCAGGCTTCCCTCCAGTGCTGGCAGGCACCTGGGACCTGGGCTACCCTCGCAGCCCCGGCTTCATCTGGAAGGATGTCCAGAATGAGGTCCAGAATGATGTTGGGTCTAATTAGCATATTACCCTTTTATTATTATAGATACCTACAAAAACAGCATGCTAATACAACCTCTTTTGGAAACTGTTTGGAAGTGTTTACTAAAAATAAATTTAAACTTACTCTGTGACCTAGTAATTCCATTTCTAGGTATATAGTCAAGTGAAATAAATGCAAATGTCCACCAAATATCATCTACAGAAGTAACAATACAGTCTTATTCAAAATAGCACCAAATTAGAAACAACCCAAATGTCCATCAATATGAGAACAGATAAGTAAAGGTGTGGAATACTACACAGAAAAGGAATACAATATAGAAGTAAAAAAAAAAATCAACATGTGAAAAAAACATGGGTGAATCCTAGAGGCAATATGTTGAGCAAACAAGCCATACATAGAAGGCAGATACCACATGATGCCCTTTATATGAAATTAAAGAACAGGCAAAACTAATCTTATCATTAGCGATCAGGATAATGGTCATATCTGGGAGGAGTTATTGACTGGCAAGGGGCAGGAGGGAACTTTTTGGGGTGCTGGAAATACTTTGTATCTGATATGAGTGACAATTACATGGATGTATGCAAAATGATCCATATATGTGGGATTAACACTTCTTATGCATTTTGCTATATATTTCACAACCCATTTCCTCCCCAAGAAAACACTACACATAACAGACAGTGGTAGCCTTTCTTCCCCCCAAAGCACACACATGCCTACCTTAAAACACAGATGTGTTTGCACATTCCCATCCTGCCTAGCATTGCACTGGGCCATAGTAATTACTTATTGGATGCTTGAACAATAAGCTCATTTTTAGCGTGCATCTGTTGATAAAACTAACCAGTATTTCCTTTCTTATGTTTACAGACTGATTTTAAGATGGACTATTTAATGCTTTCAATTAATAATTTGCTAGTCTTTTTCTAGACTTTTAGATTATCTCTTTTTCTACATTCTAGTCAGAGACAACTCACAAATTGCAAGGATTGAAGATTTTAAACAGTTTCTTCTTTTACTATACTAACTTCATTGCCCTGAATTGTGCCTGTGTTACAACCCAGATCACTCTCACCACTAGGTGGCAATAACCTCACTAAAATAAAATAGAGCTGAAATAAAGACCAATACAGAAGGGCAACTAAAACAATTTAGCCTTGTTTTTTCTTTCCTTCTCATAAATTCAGTAAGGAAAAAAGCCAGTCACAAATCTGTATTTCTGCTATAATACTGGCACCCAATAATACCTCATCTATATATATAAAACCCTAATATGCAAATAGACCGAATGGCAGAACAACTGAACAACCAGTCACTATGACGTGTGCTGACCACCAGGGGACATGCGCAGAACATGGCGGGTGTCAGCAGCAGGTGGCACAGTGTGGAACCTGGCAGCATCGGCCGCAGTGGGATGGTGGAGCAGGTGAGTGGGGGTGCCAGACCAAGGCAGGGCGTCATTGGGGTGAGCCTCTGGTGGTTACTGAAAATTCTTTGCTTCCACGCACCGCAGTTTCACACGGCGCTCACACCCGCTGCCAGCACTGAAGCTGCTGCTCGCCCCCACTGCCAGCACCCAGCACCGTCCCCAATCACTCAGTGCCATCAGCAGGTGTGAGTTGCGGCTGTTGGACCCTGAGGGCTTCTCCACCTCCCTCTGTTCCTGAAGGGCAATCGGGGCAGCAGCTGCCGCTTGCACCTGTGATTGGCACTGGTCCCAATCACTCCACATTGTCAGTAGGTATGAGTGGGGCAGGGGCTGTCAGTGCATGGGAGCAGCCGCTGGCGGGACTGCTGGCAGACAGGGGACCAGAAGCCGAAGAAGGAGGGGTTGGGCGGGGGCGTGGAAGATGGGCTGAAACCCACTCCTGTGCCCACCACAACCTTGGGCCCACAGTTCCTTTCAAGGTGCATGGATTCATGCACTGGGCCCCTAGTAACTAATAAATGGGACTTGAGATTTGATCAGAGTTGTGTTTTCAGTGAAATCTGATAACGATATATAAACATTTTACCTTATGAAATGAATGTGCCTGAAAAATCCATTAAGCTACACTTAGCTATGTCTTTAAATATGATAATGTATAACTTTTAAAAACTTGCCTTAAACATTAATGCCAATTCTATCACCCTATCCAATATAGACCTCCCCCACCGTTAGTTGCCCAATAAGTCAACTGAGGTCTTTGTGGTTTGGTTGGTCATTAAATTGTTTTTCTTTTTTCCTTTCACTTTCATTACCAACCAACCTTCCAATACACTTTTGATGTCTCCCTCCCACATTTTAGTTTCCTCTTCTCCCTTTAATTATAATGAACATTTATTATTAGTTTTTAAAATTGATTTTAGAGAGAGGACTGAGGAGAGTGAGAGAGAAACATTGATCAGTTGCTTCCTATACATACCCTCACTAGGGATGGAGCCTGTGACCAGGGCATGTGCCCTGACTAGGAAATGAAGCAGTGACTTCTTGGTTTATAGGTTGATGCTCAACTACTGAGCCACATGGACCAGGCTGAAGCAATTCTTTTAACTGTGTCTATTTTCTTCCCGAAAGCTTATGTAGTAAAGCACTACACAGATTGGACTGGCCAATAAAATCAGATTGTTTTGTCCTAGACATGAGGCTAAGGTGAGGTCCCTGAAGCCAGGTGCATTGGAACATCCTGCATAAACTCTATGGCATGATATGGCTTCATAGACCAATCCCTGCCCCTAGCCCTGCCCTATTAAAAGTTTACCCTTGTATGTTTAAAGAGGAAACATTACCTGGCCACAGCTAAGTAGTAGATGGCGTTTTCCCTTGGAGTTCTCCCGCTGTGCTCAGAGAAAGATTTGAAGGAGGATCTGGGTATAAAGTCAGTACAGGATGTTGCAAAATAAAAAGATGGGTGTGAATAACCCACTCTGGAAACTGGAGGGGGGGGAATTTGGGGGAGATATGTATTTTTTATGAGCTTTTCTTTTTTCCTAACTGTGGCAATCATATTTTTCCAATTTTGTTGTTGATGTCTTTGTAATTCAGAAAATACATTTGTATCTACAAGCTGAGGATATTTGAGGGTTTGTTCTCTTGTGTCCTGCTGTGAAATTGCCAAAGGATTGATGGGTTTCCTGCTTGTAATTTGTTCCCTGAGAGGTGGTAGCTTGCACATAATGTTCTGTGAGTCCTTGTTCCCAGCTTTGTGCCAGCTCTTGGAGGTCATTTTTGGTTTGGTGAAACCATCCACCATCACAGGGTCTCCAACTTTTGCCCCAAAGACCTTTGCTCCACAAAGCTGGCTTTTGTAAAGATTATGACTCTGAGCTCTGAGGACCCACTGTTTTATTTTAATATAGATCCTCATGGGGACTGAAATCTTCAGAAAAGAAACCGTAGACCACATTTTACTAAGTAAATATAATACGCAGTCTTTATGCTTGTGTTTGGATGCGATGGTCAGGGGAGTTTGACCCACTGCGTTTTTGCATTCCAGGCACATCACGCTGTAGTTGACAAAGGCCTTCAGAATCAACAGCTGGCCCGCTTCTGCAGCTGCATGAATGGGGCATTTAGAGACATCTGCATGCAGGGCTTCATGGCACCATGCTCGGTAGGGGTGGACGCCAACTGCCTCGTTGGGCCGCACACCCTGCTTCAGGGCCCATTCAGTGAGCTCAATGTAGCCATAAAAGGCAGCAATGTACAGGGCCACCCTTTTCTGATACCTGAATGAGTGAAACAAGTAGGAGTGTTCAGTAAGTCAGCAAATAGACAAATGTAGTTACATTAAATACCTACGAAACATTCTAGTTAAAATGTTTGTTTCTTCCTAACTTGTACCCAAACGATTTTCAGAAAAGGTATACAGTAACCTACAAGTTAAACTGTAGAGGTTCTGCTTATACACATTATCCTACTATGCACATGTACATAGTTCAAACTGCTTTCCTTGGAGAAGCTTTCTTTTTATGAAAATTAAATGCTCAGGAAGAATACACAGCTTTATATCAATTGGGAAAGTACTGGAAGAAATTCAACACATTTTAGAAATTTGAAAGTTGTGTATGCTTGTTCTATCTTTTTTAACAATCCTTATTTTTTGGCTTCTGAGATGCTACTGCTATCTGATCACCACTAGGTGGCCCCCTACCAACACCATGCCCAGTGCCATCATCTCCTCTCCCAACTCCATTTATCCCTCTCCAGGCTTTGCCTCACACTATACTCAATGAACTTTTTAATTACTTAAACTAGAGGCCCAATGCATGAAATTTAAGAGTAGGCCTTCCTTTCCCCAGCTGCCAGCACAGGCTTCCCTCTGACTGAAGGCAGGCACCCGGGATCTGGGCTTCCCTTGCAGCCCTGGCTTTGTCCGGAAGGACTTCCCATCTAATTAGCATATTATGCTTTTATTTTTATAGATTGGAGACTGTCTTCTGTTCCAACAATTGAAGTTCTAACTCTTCACCTTGGCTATAAGGCCCTTCATCATGTGTCCCCTGCCCCCTTCTCCTGCTCAACTTTGTACCAGTCCCCTTCTATTTCACTGAACTGGAGCCACACTGGCCTTTTTACTATCCTTCCAACACCCCATAAGGCATAAGCTGAAAGATGGGGGAAGGCTGTTCAGAGAAAGAAGAATCAGGGAGGGAAACCTAGACAGGGCCCCACCAGGTATTGTCCAGGATACATTTGGGCAAGGCTATCTGACCCCACTGTGGAGATGGAGACAAGCTAGCCTGATATCTAGGATACACTATGTGTAACTAACTCTCCTATGTCTGATTGCATGCTCCCCACACCACCTTTGGATGTGGTATGTGACTTCCCATGTAATTTTCTTGTATGAAGTAGGTGGTTTGCCCAGAACATATGAGTCTCTAGGAGCCTCTGGCAGTTAGATTATAACTAATTAGAGTTATAGGTTAATGCACTGGCACTTTGGTTCACACATTAATTTCTTTTGAAATTCATTATTGCACATCAGCATCTCTGAACTTGATCAGTTTTCTTGATTTGGGAGCAGAGCCTTTCCTGGATGGACTAACTGGCCTCTGCTTTCATCCTTATCACCCATGTTGTGGGAACTGGAAGCACTCTTGTTACCAAGGTTAATTGATCCTGCCTCCTAAATGTATCTTTTCACAGTCTGTTCTCTTAGTCCTAAACAATAATAATCTCTTGACTGTCTCCCTGCCTTCCTGCCTTCCTCTATTTCTCACAATGAAGCCAGCCAGCCTTCTAAAATGCCTTTCTCTACCTTCAGAATACGTCCTTTACATTTCTGTGGGTCCTGCGTGAACTGGCTTCTTCATAGCTTTTGAGCCTCTGGCCATTAGCTCCCTCTCACTCTGATCTACCATGTGAAACTTCTTTCAGTACCTTGCACATCTATTCTCTTGCCCTTATCTTTGTACATGTAGGTCCATCTGTTTTGGAACACGGGTTTTTTTCTCCCTACCATTTATCTGAGTACCAACTCTTCAGGCCTCAATTTCAATTCTCTTTCTCAAGATGATCCCCTGAGTCTGTTATTTCTCCATATTATAGATTCCCATATCATCTTGCATGATGCCCATGTCATAACACTTTTCCCATGGACTGATAACAGTACCTAACATTTGTATCCTGCTTGCCACCTGCCAGACAGCTCTCTAATTCCTTAATCTCTAAAACAGCTCTATAAGATAGACATTATTATCATTCCCATGTTATACAAGAGGACACTGAGGTACAAGATGATGGAATAATTTGCCCAAGTTTACACAACTGGACACTGAGGGAGTGGGGCTTTGAACCTGGCAGATGGGCACTGCCGTTGGTACTCTCAAACATTTTGCAGTTCTGCTTCTTCAGGAATTGGTTACTGGTTTTCTCTTTCCCCTACTGGACTGTAACCTTGCTAAGAGCATGGACTATGTCTTGTTAATTGCTATATTCACAGGATCTTGCATAGTAAATGCTCAAGAGATATTTGTTAATTGGGTAGAGGAATAAAAGGAGCTTTTCAATGTGATCATTTATAGTCACCAAGCTCTTACATTTTATTTAAATATTAAGTCAAATGGAGATGGTTAAGCACATGAGTACTAGATTTAAATTGTCAGGATCCAACACCCAGTCATGTCCTTGCTGGCTGTGTAACAATGGGCACATTTTCTTTATAGATTTCCTCATCTATAAAAAAAAAGATAAAATAGTATCTACCTCAAAATTGAACAGTGCCTGCTACAAAGTACTCAGTAAATATGCACTATATGTAACAATGTAGTACAACTATTTCTTTGGATTTAGAGCATGAAAAAAATTAATCTAAAATAGTTGAATATTTTGTAAAATTGCAAATGGTGGCTTTCCAATCTGTCACTTCACAAAGCCCTTGGAGCTCCTGGTGGGTATGTGGGCTTCTGTACAGCATAATTAAATCACCCACAAGGGGGCACTGTTCTAAAATACTACAATACCACTGAATTGAAAACAAAGGGGTAATATAGTGTTTGGGAAGCTACAGAGATACATTAACTTTTCTGAGCCTACCCACCTCCACGGCCAGGCCTCACATGCTTCACTTCATGTACTGCAAAAGTATGAATGCTGTATTAAATGCAGCTTGAAAAATTATATGGGAGCTTAGGAAGAGGCAGCCAATGTTTCAGCCAATCAATAGCGAATGTGTTGTATTTTTTAAAGAATAATTGAATGTGAGAGTGAGAAGATACTTATTCTGATGGCTTTAAAAAGAGATGTTAAAAGTCTGATACCCAAACCAAACTGGTCACCCATTTAAATAGTGTTTCCTGAGGAATGTGTACCCGAATTGCAATCCTTTCCCCAAAGGCTGTTAGCTCTGATGGCATCCCTGCTTCCTCATTCTACAAATCTCTCCATAATGGGGTCTGGTTGAGACATGCTAACTGGACCTGGCATGGAGCAGCACACCACCCATGGAGTGAATTATAGACTCAAAGTCCTATGGAAATTTAGGGTTACTTAAAAAATTACTTAAATTAATTTAGCATTTGCTTTATCTCCATACTTAAGTACCGGTTTTTCATTTGATAAATAGCGTTGGACTTTAAGTTTTTGTCCGAGGAGACAACCCATCAGAAATTCCTTCCATCCATCCCAGACGTCCAAGCGAAGTGTTGTGCCTGTGGATCAAGAGAGGCAGTTACAGTCCAGTCCATCATGTGGCTTGGCAATCCATAAAACTTCTAAAGATAGCTTCCCCCACAGAGGCATGGACTAGATCACTGATGGTGAACCTTTTGAGCACGGCGTGTCAGCATTTTGGAAAAACCCTAACTTAACTCTGGTGCTGTGTCACATACAGAAATTTTTTGATATTTGCAACCATAGTGAAACAAAGATTTATATTTTTGATATTTACTTTATATATTTAAATGCCATTTAACAAAGAAAAATCAACCAAAAAAATGAGTTCGCGTGTCATCTCTGACACAAGTGTCATAGGTTCGCCATCACTGGACTAGATGCAAAAGTAACCTTGGAGTAAGTTGACAGAGATGTTATTCTTAGCTAAGGCCTGCACAGTGATTGCATATGATGCTGAAATATTTTTTGCAGCTTTCTGAAAACAGTACTGTGGATACTGATTCCATGATGATGTACATATCACCATGTAAAACTAAAGCTATTTTGTTGGAAGAGGAAACTAAAAAAACATGGCAGGACAAATGGGCTCCTTCTTGGGCCTTTAGCTTATGATAGGCTGTGGGTGGAGCTGAATGATCCTTTTGTTCTGTGCTTCACAAAGAAGGAGCCATTCTGTGTTATGAAAGTCCATTGCTCCTGGAGGATTTATCACTTGCTCCTCAATAGATGACTCTCTCCTTATGCTGTGACACCACATTCCCTTTGCTCCTTGGGCAGGTGTTCTTCAGGAATCTTTCCTCAGCCTTTGGATCTACTCACTCTACACATCCCTCAGGATAAAACCCAACTTGGCCTACCCTGTCCTCTGTCATCTTCCTCCATCCAGCCTGCCTCACTTACTCTGTCCAGGGCACTCTGACCTTTCACCTGTCCTTGAGACATACCAATTCCACACCCATCTCAGTAACTAAAAATTTATAACTTCTTTTGCTTCACGGGGTCTTTATCCAGATTTTCACAGGGGATTGTCCTTCTTATTCAGTTTCCAATTCAAACATCATGTCCTCACAGAGGACCTTCTCAGCACCATAGCTAACTCAGTCCCTGCTGCCACTGCCCCTCCCCTCTAATACTCTTTATCCCATGACCTTATTTTTACTTATTCATATCCCCTGCCATCAGTACTTGAAATAATTTTACTTGTGTAAAGATTTTTTTTCATGCCCCTATTAGACAGAAAGCTCCTTCAGGACTTGTTGCACTTGGTAAGTGCTCACTAAATACTTTTTGGTTGACTAACAGGCAATCTCAGTGATGTTGATGGCTTCATTGACCACCCATGTGTCACTCCCTCTCTAGTCCACAACTCTAGCCTAGCCTCTGCTGCAGCTCCAGATCTCCTTGCTGAGGACACTGCCATTCAAGGGACCACACTACCTTCATGTTATTCTAGAAGACAACTTGTTAGCTTTCATCCCAACCTGCTTTTCCTCCTGCATTCATCTCAGAGTTGTTCTCCATCCATCCCTTTTTCTTTTTTTAAAAAATTTATATCAGAGAGGAAGGAAGAAGGAAAGAAAGAAACATCAATGATGAGAGAGAATCATTCATTGGCTGCCTCCTGCATGCCCCACACTGGGGACTGAGCACACAACCCAGGCAGGTGCCCTGACCAGGAATCAAACTGTGACCTCCTGGTTCATAGGTTAATGCTCGACCACTGAGCCATGCTGTCCGGGTGCATCCCTTTTTCTCATGCTCTGCATCTATACAGTCACTGAGGCCTGACTAGTTATCTCAGAAATGTTAAAGAACTGTTTCCTCATCTTCATCCTTAACCAGCTCTGCCCTATTTCATGCCGAGATAATCTCTCTCCTGAATCTACTCTGAGAAGCTCCCAAGAAAGTTCGTCCTTCCTTTATTCAAATCTCTGCTCAAATGTCATCTCTTTTGGCTGTGTAAAAATAGCCTCCCCCACTTTCCCACATCCTTATATCCTGCTTTCTTTTACTTCATAGTTCTTATTTCTGCTTAAAATTTGCTATTTTCCTGTTAACTTGATGGTGCTTGCTTTCCCCATGGCAATACAAGCTCCCAGAGGGAGCCTTGCCACTCTCACTCACAGCTCTCTGCCTGCTTTATCAGTGGTTCCTGCTCATGGGGAATGTTCAGTGGTATTTGTTGAATGAAGTTCCACTCACTCCTCAAATCCATTTTGGGCATGTGCTGCCCTCCTTACACTTAGCAGCCCAGCAGGCTGGTCTGCCCTTCTGTATACACACCAGGTTATTTCTGGCTCTGGGCCTTCTTCTTTTGCTGCACTTCTGTCTGAATTCTTATGACTCCTTCCCCACACCCTCCTACCAATAGTTTATGACGCACATTGGCATCATCTTCTCCAGGAAGCCCTCCTTGACTACACCATTCTCTCACTTCTCCAAAGAAGTTAAAGTATATTTTGACACTATCATTGAGCATACATTCCTACTTTGGAATTGCTAGTGTGCAAACACTAACAGAGAACTCTTTGGGTCCAAGCATCATCTATCATCCAGCCTGTAGCTCTGTTTTAGTTATGCTCTTGGGTTGCAAGGAGGATCTCAAGAAAATGGGTTTATTATATTAAGACAATTACTGGAAATGGTGTGCATTAGGGACCAAGGCCCCAGAATCTCTGCTTTCTCTGTCTCTTTGTATGTCTTCTCACTTTCTCTACCTACAGGCTGTCCTGCTCACAGTTTCTATCCTATCTATCACAACTTTGGCTTGTATTCAACATTGGTTTACCACAACCCAACCTTATTTCATGATACCTTTCATTTTCTATCCCTACTAATAACCAAGACTAATAATAAATGGGAATAGAAATAATATATTGAATACTAGCAGATAATATTTATTGAGTGCTTATTATATGTTCTGGCTTTGTTCTAAGTACTTTACATGAATAAGATAATTTAAAATTCACAACAGCCTTGAGTGATAGGTTGTATTATTGTTTCCATTTGACATATGGGGAAACTGAGGTATTATGAGATTAAGTAACTTGCTCAAGTTTTACATACCCAGTAAGCAGTGGAACCAGGCATTGGACCTGGATAATATGGCTCCTATGCCCATGTTCCTGTCCTCTATGTTTAGTTTTCTATTTCTTATGTCATTTTTCATCTATTCATTTACTCCCTTGATGCTATACTGTGGTTCAACTACCAGGTCCCTGCTGGGTCTCGTTGAGGATCACCTTCTGCCTTTCTCAGTCTTACAAATTTCCAGTTGCAGACTGACTTGCCTATGCCAGGACCCCTGCTAGCAGGACTTATTTGAAGCTAGATATCTACAGGTGGGATCTTCCTAGCCTATCTATCCTTCCTTAAGTGGTTGCCTTACTTCAAGGTCTCAGCTCTCCCTGTCCACTGCAGATGAGCTCTGATTCTTAAAACTACCGTGAAGACTGTATGATTTAAATTCTCACCAACAATAGGGTACTTCCATCAAGCCTTGTTTTTTTATTCTGCTTTAATTCCCTATCTGGGAGAAAATGTTATAACTATCAATTTCAGTTCCTTGCAACGAACTAAGATAAGAATGAATGTTTTCTCTGTTAATGCTCAACTTTTATTTATCCAGAGACTTTCTAAGCAAGTTAACCAGCACTATTTATTAGCTAATCTTTCCATCCCAATCAATTTTGTGACTGGCTTATTTCACTTAATACATCTTCCTCAAGGCTCATCCACATTGTAGCACATCAGACAGTTGATTTGTGTGTGTTGATCTACTTGAAAAATGCTGTTGTTCCAGAAAATACAACTAAAATCTATACAACTAAAAACTATAACTGAAGTGAAAGCAAAACTAATGGGACTTAAGCTTCAGGCCCTCTTATTCTATGAGCTTTATAATTCTCTACTAAAGGCCCAATGCACAAAATTCCTGCAAGGGGCTCAGCTTGCCGCTGCAGCTGCCTTGGGACCCTGCTGCCTTGGCTTCATCCGGGACGTCTGGTCTAATTAGCATATTATACTTTTATTATTATAGATTCTTAATTTTGAATTATTTTGTAAGGGATCCCCAAAATTGTATATATTTACAAAACCTGGATCCACCCACTTGCTGCTTGCAAACCTATCCATCTACCATGCCCAAGCTATGCAGGAAAGCAGGTGCAAGCACTAGTGCCTATTTTAGGGAATTGGTATCCATGTGGTCCCTGTATCCCAAGTTCCAGACTTCTCATCCATACTCTAAGATCAATATCTGCCTATCTGACTTAGGCTCTTTCTTCTTGAATATAGAAAACCTTTCTCTGGTTTGGGTTTCCCCTAATGAGAAACAAAACAAAACATTGATCAGAACTTAAAGAGCACCGATAAAAATAGGTATACATAAAGTCATGCTGAATTGGCAATGTAAATTGTTGGAAACAACCCAATCTTGAGTGTGTGATTACCATTTATTATCAGTATGTCCTTTATCAGGTCAGTTAACTTCCATGAGTCTCATCTGTAAAAGAAATTAAAATGGCACAGTAGGTCTCCAAGGGCCCTACTAGAGAGACCAAGGAGAGATAAAGGGACCTGGAGCCAGCCCAAATTTCAGGGTCTGAGCTGACAGAAGTCTGCTCCTGGAACAGTCTTTCAGATGCAATGTGTTCAGGCTGGCCATGAAACCTGCCATGAGTCACTTACAGTGAAAAGTAGCAAGAGCATCACCGTGTAAAGGAAAGGCATTCATTTTTTTACTCATTTATGTAGGCACACCTATTCCAGAAAGGATTAATGTCAGTTTATAAGAACATTTAAAATGTAAACAGAGTAATGAGCAGACAAGCACACAGATAAGCAAGAGGAAAGTTAGGGCCAGGATAGATCTCAGGAGCTACATAGAGCAGGTGTGTGCTTTACAGTGAGGTACTCTGGGGACAAATCTTAGAATGATCCTTCCTCTGATCAAAACAGGGATGATAGGTTTATACTGGGGCTTCTGGTCAAGATGGTGGTATAGGTAAGTGCAGTACTTGCATCTTCCCACAACCACATCAAAACTACAACTAGAATACAGAACAATCATCATTCAGAATTGCCTGAAATATAGCTGAACAGAGGTCCTACAAATAGGAAATTAAAGAGGAAGCCACATTGTGAATGGTATAAGGGGCAGAGATGCTGAGCCAGCTGGTCCCATACCAACATGTGAAAGATAAAAATTGGGAGGTTTATCTCGGTTGTAGAGGTCCCTCCTGAGGAGTGAAGGGTCCCAGACCCACCCCAGGCCTCCTAGCCCAGGGTTCAAAGGAAAATAAGTACCCATAACTTCTGGCTGTAAAAAGCAGTGGGGATTGAGGCCGAGAAAGACAGAGGCTGCTGGAGTCCCAGGCAGTTCTTCTTAAAAGGCCCCCACACAGACATACTTGAAATTGTTTTGAGCTCACCGCTGGGGCAACAGTTAGAAAGGCACCAGGGATACATGGGGAGGAACGGAAGTGTCTGACAACAGGACAAGAGTGGAGGGGCAGCTTTCTCCCAGACAGAAGAGCTGGCAGAGGCCATTGTTCCTTTTCTGTGCCCTCACCCCACAGAGCCAACAGATGGGCCCCATATCTGAGTCTCCATCAACCTGGTTAACACTGTTTGCCCCACCCTGGTAATTCCCTTAGACCCCCACCCCACCCAAGTTGTGGACCCACCCAAGCTATTTCCATTGGCTTTTCCATACCAACAGCCTGTCTTGACTTATGATTCAGACTTTCCTAAAACCTCTCAGACAAACAGTATCTGGCTTCTGTGTGCCCCATATCTCTTGCTAAGTGGCCACAGGCCTGGCACTAGCATCAGCCAGCCTCAGTTTGCAGCTTGGCCTCTCATGGGCACCTCCAAACCCAGCATAATTAGCATCCATCTGCTGATCACTTTGTAGCTCATGCCGGGTGGCCCTAGGCAGAACACAGGAGGTGGCTGACCATGGCCTGCATCTCCCAAGAGGTTCCAGAGCTAGTGCACCTAGTAGACAGCTTCAGACACCACTCAACCACCTCCACAAGTGACACACTCAAGGGAAGACTCAGTGGGCACCAGAGTCCTTCTGAAATAAGTCCTTCTCCATGGAGTGGGCCCTGGCACAACTGATCCTCCAAGTGGTTGCAGCCAGTCCTTGTAGCTGATCAGCCAGAGGGCAAATTCCTTCCATCGCTGTGCCAACAGCAATCAAGGTTCAACTACAACAGGAGGATGTATACAACCCACAGACACATGAGGGCATACCTGGAGTGCCCAGCTTGGGTGATTAGGGAGGCTGTGCCATTGGAACCTATAGGACACCTACCAAGCCTGGGAGATGTGGCAGCTCTACCTAATACATTAGAAACAAACACCAGGAGGCTGCCAAAATGAGGAGACAAAGAACCATGCCCCAAATTAAAAAACAGAACAACGCTCCATAAAAGAACTAAACAAAATGGAGACAAACAATCTACTAGACACAGACTTCAAAATACTGGTTATAGCCCAGTCAGCATGGTTGAGCATTGACCTATGAACCAGGAGGTCACGTTTTGAATACTGGTCAGGGCACATCCCCAGGTTGCAGGCTCAATCCCCAGTGTGGGCATGCAGGAGGTAGCCAATCAATGATTCTCTCTCATGATTGATGTTCCTATGTCTCTCTCCTTCTCCCTTTCTCTATGAAATCAATTAAAGCATATTTAAAAAATAAAACCACCCATTATAAGGATGCTCAATGAACTTGGGGGAAGAGTAGATGAACTTTGTGAGAATTCAACGAAGAGATTAGAAACATAAAAATGGAGATAGAAAACATGAAAAAGAACCAGTCATAAATTAAGAATACACTAACTGAAACGAAGAATATGTTACAGGGAATCAACAATGGAGTAGATGAAGCAAAGGATCAAGTCAGAGATTTGGAAAATAAGAAATAAAACACCCAATCAGAATAGCAAAAAGAAAAAAGAATTAAAAAAACCATTGAGGATAGTAAAAGGAGCCTCTGAGACAACTTCAAGTGCACCAACATTCGCATCATGAAGGTGCCAGAAGGAGAAGAGAGAAAACAAGGAATTTAAAACCTATGTGGAAAAACGATGGTGGAAAACTTCCGTTATCTGGTAAAGGAACTAGATATACAAATCCAGGAAGCACAGAGAGTCCCAAACAAGATGAATCCAAAGACACCAAGACACATCATAATGAAAATGACAAAAATTACAGAGAGAATCTTTTTTTTTTGGCTTTCCTTTTTTTTATATATAATTTTTATTTCTTAAAGTATTACAAAGAGTATTACATATGTCTCCTTTTTCCCCCTCCCTTGACATTCCCCTGGCCTTCCCTACCCCCCCGTGCCTTGTGTCCATTGAGTCCCAACCTCACTGGGGCCATCTCAGCCTCACCGGGGCCGTTTCAACCGAGAGAGAGAATCTTAAAAGCAGCAAGAGAAAAGCAGTTACTGATGACAAGGGAGCTCCCATAAGACTGTCAGCTTATTTCTCAATAGAAATTTTGCAGGCCAGAAGATATTGGCAAGAAATATTCAAAGGCCTGGCTGGTATGGCTCAGTGGATTGAGCGTCACCCCATGCACCAAGAGGTTGACAGTTCAATTCCCAGTCAGTGCACATGCCCAGGTTATGGGCTCAACCCCCAGTAGGGGGTGTGCAGGAAGAAGTCGATTGATGTTTCTCTCATTGATGTTTTTATCTCTATCTTCATTCCACTATTTCTGAAATCAATAAAAGCATATAAAAGAAAGAAATATTCAAAGTGATGAGAGGCAAGGACCTAAAACCAAGGTTACTCTATCCAGCAAAGCTATTCATTAGAAGTAAAGAAACTATAAAGACCATCCCAGACAAGAAAAAACTAGAGTGTATCACCACCAAACCAGTACCACATAAAATGTTTATGAAGAAGGAAAAAGAGTAAAAATATGAATAATAAAATATCAATAAATGCATATCTATCAACCATTGAATCTAAAAAACAAACAAGCAGAACAGAACCAGATTCAAAGATACAGAGAACATTTTGATATTTCCAGATGGGAGGGGGGGTTTGAGGAGATGGGTGAAAAAGGTGAAGGGATTAGGAAGTACAAATTGGTAGTAACAGAATAATCATGAGGATACAAATTATAGCATAGGGAATATAGTCAATAAAATTGTAGTAACTATGTATGGTATTAGATGGGTACTAGATTTATTGTGATGATTCCTTACTAAGTTATATAATGTCTAATCACTGGGGTGTACACCCGAAACTAATATAACATTGTATGTCAACTGCTATTGAAAAATAAAAAAAAAATATTCTTTTTTTAAAAAAGAAAAAAAATTGTTGATATGAAAAAGTATGCTCTGACCCAAGAGTGAATTTGATTAGAAATGTGAAGAGTCAACTTGGGAAAAACAGGTTTCCATTTTGGATAATAACGGACTTCAGAAAGCAAGTTTTACTTACTGATATTCAGAGTATATTGAATTGTAAATTTTGAAAAAGTCAAATAAACACTATACTAAATTAAAGCAATAATAAATAAGAAAAAAAACCAGGAATGATCATTGATGTCAAAGTTTTGAGAACCTCAATTAAAAATAACAAAAGAATAAGTAAATATGATAGGAGAAGTAACAATGAATGCAAATTTAACATTTATCAAGAGCAAAACTGTTTTACTCAAGAATGTCTACAAAGAGCTATTTTAAGTTGGAAGAACTCAAATTCCATTGCAACAAATGTTACAGCACGGCACCACCTAAAAATGTGCTAATTGTCAGCAAAGATATATTTGCTTCAAGCAAGAATCTCCATAAGGTTTGAACCATTTTCCAATGTGGTTAAAACAAACCTGACAGTTTTACTGGTGTATGGCTAGCAGTACAGGATTAAAAGGGAGGTTGTATCTGCTGTGAGAATGAATGCCAGTTCACTGAGGCAGTTCAGCCTGCATAGTAGTGGCTTTACCCTGTTTAAAAGTTTAATATAGCCAACATTTTAAAAAGAGATTGCATAAAGCAAGGCTCAGGACAGTCTGTATCATATGCTACCACTGTGTTAAAAAGAGGAAAAAGAGCCCTAACTGGTTTGGTTCAGTGGATAGAGCGTCGGCCTGTGGACTGAAAGGTCCCAGGTTCGATTCTGGTCAAGGGCATGTACCTTGGTTTTGGACACATTCCCAGTAGTGGGTGTGCAGGAGACAGCTGGTCGATGTTTCTCTCTCATCGATGTTTCTAACTCTCTATCCCTCTCCCTTCCTCTCTGTAAAAAATCAATAAAATATATTTTTAAAAAAAGAGGAAAAAGAATATGTACTTGAACTTGCTTTTATATATGCTGCAAACATATTTGAAAAAGAACAAGACACCAGACAAGACTATGAGACCTTTCTTATGTCTTAGTCTACAGAACCGGACATCAGAGAGAGGAGTTTTGATAAATTATATTGACAGTGCTTACAGAAGTTTTAGTTTAGAAAGAACCTCTCCATTTGTTAAGAATCTGGTATCAAAGAATCCTAGTGCTGAGTAGTAGCTGGTATCAAGTGTAGAGGACAGTACCAATGTCAGTCTGATAGTCCCTGAGGGTGTTGCAGTCGAACATCTCCAGTCCCCTTGGGGTCCGGAGGCAGAAGACACTCACAGGGAAGCCACATCTCAAAGATAACAGCGTTCTCAGCTCAGACACTTTTTTACCAAGAAGGGAAATGCTCTCCATTATCAACATTTTCTCTTGTGTAACAGCATTGAACACATAGAGAGTGGGCTTATCTTCTTCCTATGGGGAGAGAAAAGAAGAGAAGTCAGGAACAAGCACTGTCTGGAGGTTGGGACAGACAAATATGTTGAAGGGTGGCTCTAAGTGCCTCTAGCTAAGGATGAAAAGGAAGGTCAGTTTACATTTTCTGATGTCTGGTCTGAATTTTGCTCTTCTCTCTGAATCTTGTTCTTTACTCCTGCTTTGAGTAAAGTAAAGGAAGACTAGGCAGGGCTTTGAGATCCTTCTTACTTCTTAGTCTACAGGCCCAGCTGCACGGTGTTGATAATTTATATCCCCACTGCACTTAAGGAAGTTAGTTTCAAAACAACTCCATCATGCTGCACTTTAATTTGGAAATGCTATGGATTCTACACCTTTACTTAAAAAAAGTGTTTTCTGTGAGGTTATCTCTGGAAAGTGGAATTGAGTTCAGACTGGGATGGAAGTTTTGCTTATCATTTTACTAGAGGCCCAGTGCATGAAATTTGTGCACGGGTAGGGTCCATAGGCCTGGCCAGTGATCAGGGTCGATCAGGTTCCCTGCCTCCTCCTTCCCTCGCCCTGCCGCCACCACTGGTTGCCCACCATGTTCCACGCTGCCTCCTGGTGGCCAGTGCACATCATTGTGAGTGATTGAACTCCCAGTCGAACTCCCAAGGGGACACTTTGGATATTAACCTTTTATATATATACAGATGCTCTTCATTGTCTGTATCACTTGACCTTTAAAAATAACCATGTGCATTTATGTTTATTATTTTAAAAAGGAAATACTATATACGAGTGAGAAAAGTTTCCTTTGTTCCTTTTACTTTGTAATCTTAATAGGAAAGCAAGTGGAATGGAAATATCGGAAATAGAGTTAGGAATGAAAATTGGGGGAAAGTATTAATCATTCTGTTAGCAACAATTAAATCAAGTGGAACCAACACAAAAACCACAGGAAATGAGGAAATTGGGAAAGTGGTAGGGAGGGAAAATTTATTAACATTTCCACTTTTCTAACTTAAATAAATAAATAAATAAATAGAAGTGGCTTTACTTCTACTTTAGAGGATTCAGGTCAATCACATGTTTTCTTCAGTCCCCCGTTGCTGGCTTGGCAGATGGGAGTGCACAAAGCTGACATGTAGCGTGCCCTGGTAACCTACCTCCTCTCCAAGAGAGGCCTTGAGCAAAACCTAGAAGCTGAAAATTGCCTCCAGTTTCCTCAAGGCAGCTCCAGCCAGTCACTTCCCTCCTGGACCCCTTCTACTTTCCCTCCCTTTTTCTCCCATCAAAATTCATCTCTGGTTTCTCCAGGGTCCCTCCTTGCTTCAGGCTTATAATGCATTAAATGTATTCCCCACCTCCCAGATAACACATCATGAAAATCTCTTTGAAGGAGCCTTTGAGGAGTAATGTTACTGATGAAAGTTTAGGCTGCAATGTTTTAATCTAGGGTCCATTTTAGTAACTCAAATCGCCTAGGCTCAGTCATCCAGCAAGCTGAGCTGCTCTCTGAGTCTAAAGTGCTTGGAATAGGATTAAAAACGATGGCAGAGTAAGTGGATGGTATGTAGACCACTCCCATAATAAAACTGGAACTACAACTAAAATACAAAAATAAAAATTAAAAAAAATCCTGAATAATCACCTGAAGACTAGCTGGAGAGAACCTTGATAACCAAGGATAGAAAGTGGAGACCACACAGAGACTGGTAAGAAGGGTGGAGGTGCAGAGGGCTTGCTGGACTCCCACAGAAAGCAGCTGAAGTTCTGGAGAGATATCTCAGCTGTGTGTGTTTGGGGGGGGGGGAGTTTGTAACTGAGAACTCTGGGGTCTAGTCCCCAACCTGAGCCCCAGAGCCCACAGCAGCAGAACTGAGAAAGGTGCCCACATAACATCTGACTGTGAAAAGCAGCAAGATTGCTGTCTGCCAGGGAGAGATGGCTGGAAATGCAGGCACCCTCTTAAAGGGCAAAAATTTCGTGTGCAGACACTCATTTTGTGGTCTGGCAGAGGTAGGGCAGTGTGGACTGGGGCTTTGTGAGCAGAAGCCAAGGTTGGGTGCTCTGGGATTAGAGCTCAGAAGGCAGACATCCCGGTCTCCTGTGCTGAGTCATTCCTTCACATTGCAGAATACACTTTCTTATGCAGAACTTTACTATTCAGGCAGATTTACCTGGGGGGAAGACAGTTGACACATCCTATTGGAAAACACATTGCCCCATGGTGTTTCTGAGGCCCATTAAGAGACAAAGAATAACAATTAGCCTCCAGGAAGAAACAATTGCCCCACCATGTTGGAAAAACTCTCGCCATACATGTGGATGATTGCCTCAGGGTTACTCAAGACTGAATCCACTCACTCTGCAGGCAGAGGCAGGTCTCTGGAGACTTTGAGTCTTTACCTGATGTAATTAGTCAGAAACAGCATTTGACACTGTCCATAACTAGAGATTGAGAGGCATCACAGATCTACCTAATCCTAATATATATAAAAACCCTGGGTCCAACACAACCAAATGGACAACCAGTCCATCTCCCAGCCCTCAGGCTCCATTGATCAGGTGATGGCTAACAGGGGAACCGGGTCACTCATGCTCTAATGAATCCATGGCAGCAGCATCTGGTGAGCAGGCGGAAGGCAGACTGCTTGGTCCCTCCCCCAGCTCCCAGGCTCTCACTGATCAGGGGATGGCTAACAGGGAACCCGAGTGAGTGAGTGAGTTAGTTAGTGGCACTCACTCCGGTTCCCTGTTAGCCATCCCCTGATCAATGGAACCAGTGAGTGAGTGAGTTAGTGGCACTCACTCCGGTTCCCTGTTAGCCATCCCCTGATCAATGGAACCAGAGTGAGTGGTGCAGGGACTGGTGAGCAGCTGGAAAGCAGGCCTCTTGGTCCCTCCTCCCGGCCCTCAGACTCCAATCAATTGGTGGCAGAGGCAGGGCGGAACTGGGGACTGGCTTCCTTAGTAGTACTACAGGTACAATCTCCAGAGGACAGGCCAGGAACCAATGCACCAGTGCCACCAGCATGATCCTGACAGTGCTGCTGGCCTCCTGGAACTCAGCCTCGGGCACTGCAGCCGCTCCCTCTCCCTAGACACTCCACAAGGAAGAAAGGATATCGCCAGCAGCACCATCTAGTGCTGTTACTGCTCTACAGCACCAGTAGTTACTCCTCTCCCTGTACTTCCTCCAGGTTGCCTGCCCCTTCCAGATGAAGTGTGTGCACTGCACACGGAAGGAGATGTGAGTATGTAGCACACAGGCAATTAATTTCAAAAGATTTTGGACCAATCATTTCCCTCATTGGCCTGTTGGTTTGTTCCTCTCTAAGTATTTCCTCAACAACCTCACAAAAGGAGCAGATAATAATAGGAATAGTCCATTAAGGCTAATTAAAGCCATTAAAATTAATTTTGTTTGGAGATTTATTGGGAAATTTGGGACTCCCATTGAGACCATTGATGCATGCCAGGGAATCACCCAGCGGAGCCCCCGAAACGACTGCTGCTGGGGGCTGTGACACAGTGATTGCCCCCTGCCCCCGCCCTGCAGGCCTGGCACCAGCTCTGAGGGGCTCCAGCGCTCTCACTGATCAGCTCATCATCACAGCTGCACCTCCAACCCCTTCAGGTTGTGAGAGGAGAATAAGAGGATGTGAACCATGAAGGCCAAACTGGGAGACATTTTCACAAGAAGATGGACCCAGCCATCATTTTATGATGTGATTTGTGAACCATTGAATGTCCCCCCTTAAAATATATCTTCAGGACTTGCTCAGTGCCAGGGAGTCCACGGGGAGCAGAGCCCTTAGATGTAAGCATTCTGTGTGTTTTGGGGTTTCCTGAGGGTGTATGTCCCTTGGAGGGTGAACCCCAGACTTCAGGGAGGCCTCAGACCATTGTTTGAACTTACAGCTCTCACAATGTGTGAAGGCAGGAAAACCAGCCGTGAAATTTGCATCCCATCCCCAGGTGTTACAGGGTGACAGGCAAAGCTAAATGGGTGGAATTGCGATGGTGCCTAAGCTGACTGAGATGGGAGAGTGCTCTCAATCCCTGGGCCTCTGTGATCACGGGAGTCCTTGCACTGGGGCCAAGGGAGGCAGAAGGAGGACCTAAGGAAGTGTGAGGGGCTTGGCTGTTATTGCTGAAGGAAAAGGCTGGACACGGAGCCAGTGGTTCTCCCAAGACCCTGGGCAGAGATGCACCTACCACACCCAGTGCTGCCACTGTGTCCCCACTGACAGAGCTGCAAGTCCATCAGCGTGTGCTACTGTCAGCCCATGTGCGTGGTCCTTCATTATAGGAGGATGGAAACTGGACCCCAGGGGGGGGGGGTCAGAGGCTCTGTAGCCGACCCTCTGCTCCAGCTCTCACATGCTGTGCAAGGCTGCGGCAAGCGGGGAGTCTTCTGGCTCATGCTCATCAGGACGCTGGCAGAACCTATCCTGGGGACTGTCTGACTAGTGGCCCAGCTGCGTGCTGTCTGTGGACAGAGATCCCCTGAGGTCCTAGAGGCCACCCTGGCTCCTTGCCATGGCTTCTCTAGTTCCCAAGGGTGTCTGCCCCCGCGGCTGCCATGACCAAGCAGGACAGGCCCAAAGGAGCCACAGGAGACACGGAGCCAGTGGTTCTCCCAAGACCCTGGGCAGAGATGCACCTACCACACCCAGTGCTGCCACTGTGTCCCCACTGACAGAGCTGCAAGTCCATCAGCGTGTGCTACTGTCAGCCCATGTGCGTGGTCCTTCATTATAGGAGGATGGAAACTGGCCCCCAGGGGGGTGGGGTCAGAGGCTCTGTGGCCAATGAGCAAGTGGAGAGTAAGTGCAGGGAGGGTGAGGATAGCACTTCAGAAAGCAAGGTGAACTCAGGAATACATGGGAGGACACTGAGCTGTGCAGGAACATGGGAGCTGGGCAGGCAGACAGTGATGCTGCACAGGGAGGTGGTGGCAGAGGGGAGCAGGGGCAGTAAAACCCCCGTGGACTCAGCCAACAGCAGGCCTGGGTCTCACAGG